GAAAAATTTATTTTGTGACAAAATGTTTGTTTATTATTAAACTTTATTTAACGAGGGTAACATATTAAAGTTTTCATTTATCTTTCCCATGGCCTTTAAAAAAGAATAATACACAACTAGAGAAAGTAATTAAAATGACTAACAAACTAAACAATCTCAAATTGAATGTACCGGTAGTTAAAATGCACTAAAACATTTCTTTAAATTATATATTATTACTATCTGATTGCCTTATCTCTTGTTCTAAACTATTCCATAGACAGGCTCCTACAGTGGGCAGGTTTTTTTTTTAATAACTACCTTGCATGCTCCTGTTCCTGCTTTGATATTAAGATCGTTGGTCACTGCAGATCCAGTGTTAATTAATTGTATGCATATCTCTAGCATATGTGAACATTTCTCTTATGTATGGAGATGCTAAATTATTAAGTGACTAGGGAACTAGAGTTGCTATACAAGAATGTATCAAGATCATGTAATGGTAACTAAAAAACAAACTAAAAAGAATCAGACACGGCAACAGTTGTTATATGTAATTCTGGATAGGGATTGGGAAATATCTCCTTACACACCAAAGTAGTACAAGACTACCACAAACTTTCTTAATGTGATCTTTCCAACTAAGATTTGTGTCCACAATAACACCAAGCAACTTTTCAGACGTGGTATCCCATCAATTGTGACATTAAGATCTCATTCAGAGGGAGATAAATTTCTCAACTTTTGGGAGGTTGTAATCAATACAGATTTACTTTTGTTAGTGTTGCTAACCATTTTGTTGTATTTTCACACCACCCAGATATCATGTAGAAATTTTCAGTAAGTTTACAATTTAGTGGAGTTGTCTGCATACATATAAATAATGGTATGTGTGACGAACTGCAAGTGGCAGTTCATTAATAAATATGAGAAATAATAAAAGATACCCCAGTAGTCACATGTCTATTTTCAGAATGGACACACTTGAAATTAACAAATTGGTATTTATCTACATATGCTTTTACATAATATTGATATAATGATAATTTCCTTAGTAAAACTGTGTGTGGTCTACAAGACCGAAAGCTTCACACACCGGGGGTAGGTCTAATAAGATTGATGCTACTAAGTTGCTCTTCTGTATGGGTAATGTCTAAATTGACACCAACCTACTGAGGGCAGTCTCACATGAACATTGTTGTCAAAAACCTGACTGTGCTGCTGTTAGGAATTTGAATGTGCTTTTCAAAAATCTTGGGAACCACTGATAATATAGATATTGAGTGATAATTATTTGTTTTTTTCTTATTTCTCTTGAGTGTTCTGAAGTTAATACTTTGTCTGTTGATGCCGTTATATAGCATTCATATCGGCTACACATGAAGGTTTTCAGTCGGTGACGTATTAGGATGCTACTATAGTGTATATGGTACATGGTGTATACGGTACGTACGGTATCACTCACTATAACAAAAGGCTATGCTTTTTCCAAATACAGGGTTGAAGATATTTCTAGGAGTACAATACTGACCTTGCTAGTTCCTTTGCTATAGTTTTAGTAAACCCTTCCACACCAGCTTTAGATGCTGAATAGTTACACTGACCAAGGTTTCCAACCTATCAATACAATACAAGTTATTACAAATACCAATATTGACATACAATATATTTATTCACCAGATGACATACTGATACATACTGTACAGTGAAGAACTGTAAACATGTACTGTACTGTAAATCTTTTCTTCATAGAAATATTCATGATTTGACAATTTAAGCATGGAGATGGCTAAAACACTTTTGATAAAGGAATGTACTGCCATTTTCCTTTATTTCCTGCAATGGCATATTTGAAAGTCTGATAAAAATGTTTAATTTTATGAAACCTTTCACTCACTAAAATATCAAAAATTGGTTTTGAGTTTCTGAATGTTTTGTATTTTTGCTAATTTGATTGTTTTGTTCAAGGTGACCTTCTAGACATTGAAAGTCATTGTTGTCTGTCATGACATTTGTTTATATGATGGTTCAGCTAATGGTAGATGCATTTTACTAGTTACCTATGGTAGATAAAGACTAGTGAATTGTTACTAGTTACCTATGGTAGATAAAGACTAGTGAATTATTACTAGTTACCTATGGTAGATAAAGACTAGTGAATTGTTACTAGTTACCTATGGTAGATAAAGACTAGTGAATTGTTACTACGGTAGTTAGCTATGGTAGATAAAGGCTAGTGAATTGTTACTAGTTACCTATGGTAGATAAAGACTAGTGCATTTTTACTAGTTGGCCATGGTAGATAGGGCTAGTGTGTCATCAGCCTCAAATCTGACTCAGAGACTCGGCTAGAAAGATTGTCACTTACCCTTCCAGATATGCTTGCCATAGTTATAATTGATCCATGCTTTATTTTATTATCAATCATCAATTTGGTAATGGCTTGCGTAACTAGAAACGTACCCTAAATGAAAACAAAAATTGAGAATGCAATGTATATTTCAGTGTGAACATTTGTAGGTTTTAGAATACCGGTACTCCAAACAAGTGCAAAATGATCTTAGTACAATAAGGCATTTAAAACTTTTGTTAGCCCAAAAGGTATGTCCAAAATGAAGCAATTATTGGAATCAGGCAAAAAATAAATGCATTAACATTTCTTAAAATGTACACAGAATTACACTAACGCATCACACTTTATAACAGTCCATGTGTGCATTTTCAGATGAATTTTCACACAAAAAATTAATGTGAGAACCATTTAATTTTCAGTGTTAAGAGTTTCCATGATTTGTTGATTTAGCGACACGTGTAGACAAAACTTTATTCTGAAGATATAAATAATACTACCCTCATTAAATAAATCTGATATCACTAACCTTTAAATTGACTGAAATGACATCATCAAAACTTTTTTCATCCATTTTCACCATAAAACTGTCTTTTGTGATGCCGGCCGAATGGACTAATATGGTGGGTGTGTTTTTATAACTCCTCAAAAGATTTTCAGTGAGCTGTTTAACTGACCACGTTGAGGACACATCTGCAGTAAATGCTGCATGTTTGCATTCATCGTGAGTTACGGCAAGATCATTTGCTGTGGATTGTGCATGGTCACTGTTTATATCCACCACCGCAACGCTGGCACCTTCTTTTGCAAATCGATGACATACGGCTCTTCCGATACCACTTCCGCCACCTGCAATCAATATCACCATTATGTAATGGGTGTAATATGTATAATTTTCTAATTATGAATTTTTCATGAATTGTGGAGTTAAATTTTATTTTAAATTTACTTAAAATGTGTCATTTATATTAGGTTAATCTCCCACATGTCAGTGAGCCCTCTAGAGTTGACATATAGAAATTACTTCTTCTCCTGCTCAAGTTGGTAGTTTCAGTATTAAATTTCTGTTCATGTCTATGTGAAGTGCTATCTCGTACTACCTGCCTCATAGCCCTGTTGTCCAAGCGATTGAGCAATAGGCAACTCACCAAACCGCATTGAACCAACGTGGTAGGTTACGGTTCAACCCCACAAAATAATGAAGCTGTTGTGGAGGCCACCCGCCAGCAGTGGCGTGAAAGGTGAAAGGCTGAGATGATGATGATGATGATGATGATGATGTGAAGTGGAGTCTGAGATCACAGATTAAAATGCAGACTTGCAGAAGAGCCAGCCTAAATATCTGAATACGAAAAGACTGAAAAACTACCAGAAAGCATGCTGTGGCAAATATTATCCAAGTTCCGCATCATCTATTTGGTGATTGTTTTGACTATTCAACACAGTTTTGTTTTGTTCAAATTTCCTTTACAATAACTTATCGGTCAATGGTATTTGCAGTAACAACATCTGACTCTGTGGTGACACAACCTTGCAGGATAAAATAGAGAAATGCATCAGTACAGATGAGTGTAACATCAGGATAAGGAGTACACTGCATCTGTCTATTATTGGAGTCAGACATTTATCTGTTTTCCCAAATAACTAGAAATACTATACCTGCATGTTACACACTAAGTGTTAAACATATTTTCTTCCATACATTATCAACAGTATTCAGCACATCAGCAAGCATAGTTTAAATGAAAATTGTACATTATTGGGTTAATCTCGACAAATTTGATGCTCCGAAAAGCCTGCGAGTCACGACATAAATCAGGCAACAAGGCACTTTTCTATAAAATGGAGATTATCTCTATATCGGGAGACAAATACTTATACAGAAACAATCCCCAGATACTGGGATACCCGGGAAGGTGTGATTTATGTGGTCTGTACGCATTTAGAACAGCCCAGCAACAGACACACGTTCTGAAGGGAAATCTTTTCAAAGTTGGTTGACAATGTTCAATGTTTTTTGTTTGTTTTTCGTACACGGAGAGATAGGATAGAAGAATCGTGATTGGAAGAATATATTGGAATGATTTGTTCAAACCTAAATAATGAGGTGTGTCGCGCGTTGATTTTTTTGAAAACAAATATGCGCAGTTAAAACCACAGAAAAAATAAAGACTGGGTGTGGGAGAGGGGGGGGGGTAAATTGGTAAGCGCATCATTCTCGTCGCTAGACCTTATTTCCGCTCCGAGTCTCCGCAACGATCGCCGTAAAGAGGCCGAAGTGTATGGCGACAATCGGTATGTCCAGTGGCGTAAATATATTCACTTTTCATTGGAAATGCAAAGTAAAATAACTATACGTATTTGGGTTGAGTATATGACAGCCAGTAAAACACAGTCAGTTAGGTCGTGTGGTGAACAGAGGCATGGCATGACAATCAACAAGTGAAGAGGTCGTAACGTACCTGTCACAACAGCAAAGAGTTTGTTGAGCTGCAGAGACGCCGCCATCTTTCTTCGAACTTCGACCCTGCCTGAGAGGTCATATCTTTGACCAATGAACGCATCGAACGAAGATGTCATTATGCGTCAAATGTTTGCGCAGATTGCACAACTTGATGCAATGAACAGCTGTTCGCTTGTTTATGAATGAACATGTTCGGCACGGTGTGTCACCGTAAAACGTTTGACGCTTTTGTAAGATGTACGTGCGGATTGCGCGTGTCTTCCGTGAAGATGCACCAGGGCCATCATCGAAGACAGACACTGGTAAGTTTCTTTATCGAGTCGATAGACGGTAAATTTCAATATAATGGAACTCAGTCACAGCTTTGTACTCTGACTAGCCCGGCCAAATACAGAAACAGTGTGTCGGAGGTGAGGATCATATAGACAGACGACCCCATGTGTTCTCATGGGCTTTTGTCAGAAGTGCACCGACAACATATCATAGTGGTAGTCAGACATGTTGAACTAGCGGTTGACTGTCCGTTGGGGATTGGGATGTGGGGGAAGTCCGGGGGGAAGTTGAGTGTTTGTCGTCCTCGTGAGCTGATGGCATGGAGTGCCGCCGTGATGGGACAAAGTGCGAAGCTTTTGAATGGTCTAAAATTATTACTCGGCTTTGGGGTCGACCGTTTGAAATCATGGGGGTGGCCGGAAGATTTGTTGATTAAGAAAATTGCAAGCTAGACACAGAGAGAAAAATTACATTCAAATTGGTGTAGGAAAAAGATATTGGCACATTCAAGAAAATTAAAATTGAATGTACAGATAAGACAACGCCAAAAAGGCCACAACCAAACCCCAATGATTTCAAACGTTTGACCCCGTCCGTAATAATGTTTACACAACATATTTATGGTCCTCGTGATATTACAAGTCTTACTCGCTGGTCGCGCGGGAACTTGCTATATCACGGTGTTTCTACTGATATAATGTGTTTAAATACAATTAGCGTCAATGTACTAGTCATAACCAGACTCTATATACTTATTAATAATTTGTACGATACTATTCAGACCAATAGACGGCCCTACGCGGAATGATTCGTGATCTGACGGTTTATAATGAGGAACAAGTATAATTGTTATTCACCATGAAATGCTGTTGCTAAAAAAAAATCATTCGAAGTAGAATTTCGGGGGGTTGAATGCCAATAACACACAAGATGTGCCATTGTATCTTCTCTTTGACTACAACCTGTGCTGTGTATTTGTACTCGCTATTTTCCACATTCAAAACCAGATTGAGAAAATCTTCACAATTGCGAATATAATATCTTTATAGTTGCATTTGTGTTGTATAATGAAGCCTGATAACAGTTAATGCAGTTTCATTAGAACATATGTAAATTAAATATATGGCAACTCTCCGATGAGGTTACCCTGTGTAATTGTGCAAATTAGAAAATATTTCTATCTATTTCCTTAAGAAGTTCATTTTAAAATAATATTAGCTTCAGATTATTGGACCGTTTTATCATTTTAAGCTTTTTGGATTTTCTCGTCGGAATGACACCAGCATTGTTAGTTATCCTAAAAATCATCGGAAATGACGTATCACTTTCCAAAAGTGTAATTTAGACCATCAGTCTGTTATCTTTGCTGCTCAATAATGACGCAACGCTACGAATGTATTGTTAACTCACATAAAAGGAACGTTGCCAGAAACTTCAGTGATTATTTCAAATAATTATTAGAAATGACGATTGCCTCGGATATACTTCCTAAAAGCTATTATTTATTCATTGATATCCAGGATTTCGCCTTTAGTATTCAAATACTAGTAGTTTTTTTTTGTAGTTC